ACACACACACACACACACTATATATATATATATATATATATATATATATATATTTAACATCCCAATTGGAATACCTTTATTGGCCATATGTGCTTGTACACATACAAATTTATATATTTAGTACATTGCTCGTCTGAGAAAGTAGTGTTTAGACTATGCGGTGCTGATCGTGGTTCAACATAGGGTATATATGGCATCCGATACTGGTAGGCACGGGATACAGATGAATGATTTGTGTATATAGCTTTTCAAAAGAAAAGTGTCATTTATGCACATATGTTTGCGTATTGAATTGTATCGCTAGGATTGACTTTCAGCACACTTTCAACAGTAAATAGCAGATTGGGTACCTTGCACGATTGTAATTGATACAGTCAGAGCTAATAACACAATACCTGATTGCCAATGCAAATGCACCAGCATATACTCCTCCAATCGCTACAACCATAAAAGGAAAGGAGAAGTACTCAGTCGAGCACGGGGGACAGTATGCCATGTTATCGTATATTCGGTATTCGGAAGTAGTATGGAGGCAAACGTGACCAATTCAATTATCAGGTTCGATATATATATATATACATATATATCCCCCTTTCTTCGTTTAGTTTTTATGCCGAAGCCACTACTACCAACAACGAACAGTGATCTACAGGTAATACTACCAGCTTCGATTTATAAACATTCCCTTTTCTTTGTTTAGTTTATATGCCGAATCCACTACTACCAACAACGAACAGTGAACTACAGGTAATCATTGTTATCTCGATATGCACTGGCAAGCCATTCTTTTGATCGTTGTGCCAGGTGCCGTAAAGTGCAGTGTACTGTATTCTGATATTACCAAAAATATTTAAATCCAAATGATGCATTTTCACACAATAGCGCCTATCGGCACTATACAAACCCAATAGTTCGCCTATTTTAAGAAAGTCTAGACTAAATATAAAGATCTAGTTGATGCCTGCGCGTGTCTACATAGTTACTATACGTGTCAAAGCTGACGATGCTACTCGCATATACCAGACATACCTTCATAGCATTCAGTAAGCGTATACCCCTTCCTCCCTTACTTAAATCGTACATACAGCCAGCGCGTACGTTCAGTGCAAGTAAACGTGCACTTGGCACAATGAAGATCGATGTTATTCCTATGTTCGAGGACAACTATGCATATTTGATTATCGACGACGCTACCAAAGATGCTGCGATTATTGATCCAGCGGAACCATCCACGGTATGAGGCGATTCCGGACTTGAGTATAAAGACGCACACACAAACACAACATACACTCACACACAAACACACACACACACAGACACACACATAGACACAGACACAGACACACACAGACACAGAC